GGAGCGGCCACTGCACTCCAGTCTGGGTGACAGAGTGAGACTCCAACTAAAAACAAAAAAAACAAAACAAAAAAAATCCCTTTATTACCACAGCCCTTTAGAGAAAATTTTGAAGTGTTATTTTCTGTATTTTTATTTTAGCCATTTTAGGCAAGTAGCAATCTTTGTAATGTATTATTTTGAAAAACAAAGAAATCCAGGGAGGAGTTGTTTTTAAATCTCTTGTATCAATAACTAATCTGTTAAATTTTACTAATGCTTACAGAATATAGACTTTGTAACATTTTTTTGCTTTTGTAACTTTTATATTAAATTCCATAGCTACTGAGTTTCCTTTGGTACTGAGTTAAAGTATCTGCACCACTTAAAACCCAGGAATAATGAGCCAGGGACATATGTATTTTTTCAGAACGGTGACTAGATTTTATTTTGTACAGACACATTTAGGTTGTATAGTGTTCCATCTTAAATTCCATGGAGCATGGTGGTAATATGTCTCTTGCGTTTAATGACTGTGTAATCATAGAACTGCATGTGAAATACCATTGTCCTTGAAGTTACTGTTTATCTCTAGGGCTCTACTCATTGGAGGACCTTATCATTGCCGATTCTCAAAGAGAACTGGTGTGGAAACATAATTTTTCTTTTTTTTTTGAGTCAGTCTCATTCTGTCACCCAGGCTGGAGTGCTGTGGCTTGTGCATGGCCACTGCAGCTCGACCTGCTGGGCTCAGACAGTCCTTCTGCCTCAGCCTTCCAAGTAACTGGAACTACAGGTGCGCTCCACTGTGCCCCGCTAATTTTTTTTTTTTTAATTTATTATAGAGATGGGATCTCACCATCTTGCCCAGGCTTGTCTAGAAGCCCTCGACTCAAGTAATCCTCTCTTCTTTGCCTCACAAAGTGCTGGGGATTACAGACATGAGCCACTGCGCCCGGCCTGAAACATAATTTTTTCTAAGAGATAAACAGTTTATATTCCCACTCAACAACGGGCACTGTGAAGATAACACCTTAGAAAAAATAAGTTTCCACATACTTTCCTTACTGAAAAAGTAAAGAAGCCAGGTGTAGTGGTGTGTGCCTGTAGTCCCAGCTATTTGAGAGACTGAGGCGGGAAGATCTCTTGAGCCCAGGAGTTTGAGTCTGCAGTGAGCCAGAATTGTACCACTGCACTCCAACCTGGGCAACATAGCGATACCCCAACTCAAAAAAATTTTTAAAAGAGAAGTTATTTCTTCTCATGCTCTTTGCCCACTTAATCACTTAGTCATTCTCCCCTGAAAATGTAGACACTCACATATTACTGCCATATGCCCTGTGGAATTTAAAATTCTATACTATTGGATGTTAAAATATTTAAAAATCTTTAAAGTTCTGAATATATAGTTGGCAGTATTGTCATGATGGCTATAGCAGCTGCATGAAAAAACCTTGCTGTGGCCCTTTTTGTAATACAAATGATCACCTATTTAATCTGAAGGACATTCCTCTGTATATTTTCTTAAGTTCAGCCAGGCATTATTTATACAGTTAATAAAATACATCTTTCTTTTTGTCTTTCTCCTTAATAACAGTGCCCAATAGACACCAGGAAGCAACTAGCAGAGAATTTGGTAGTCATCGGTGGCACGTCTATATTGCCAGGATTTCTCCACAGATTGCTTGCAGAAATAAGGTATTTGGTAGAAAAACCAAAATATAAAAAAGTGCTTGGCACCAAGACATTCCGAATTCATACTCCACCTGCAAAGGCTAATTGTGTGGCCTGGTTAGGAGGTAAGAATTTAGTTTTTAAAATATAATGACTTGGATCAATTTAGAGCCCATCATACTCAGTGATCTGTCACAGAAACAAAGAACTGAGTACCACATTTTCTCACTCATGAGTGTACCTTGAACATTTGCATAACAATACACAAAAGGGATTGGCAGTAGTGGGACACTGCCAGGGGGAAAGGGGCACATAACTTCACCAACGGTACCTGATCATAAACCAGGCAAAGTAAGGACCAATGGGAGGCCCAAACTTCACCTGTATGCAAACCACTTACGTACCTAATCCTGACTTGTATCCCACATCTTTAAAATAAGATAAATTGTAAACATATATGTAAATAATGACTATATAGAAATTGGTTTTTGAGGGTTATTACTAATGAGTATATTAGAATAAGCGTTCAGAATTATCTACTTTATAAATAGAACTATTAAATAATTTTGTTTGAACATTGACTTTTCCTGGAATAATATTAATTTTCAGGATTCTGTATGCATTTCTCTTGGTATTTGCACTGTTTTAAGTAAACTTCTTCATCCAGTGAAAGTCATCCCTCAGAAAACTATTAATTTATTTCAGTGATGCTATTATTGCTCAGAACATTTGGTTTAATTCTTCCAAAGCTAGTGAGCCACATGTGAAAATTGGTCTCTCTCTTTTATAATTACATTTTGTTTGTGACTGAGTTCACTGAATGTTTTAAGTAATGAAAGTTTCACCAAAATAAGCAAGTAACCTTATAAGTACAGTTGACCTTTGCCAACATGGTTTGCAAGGGTCCACTTATTTGCAATCTTTAAAGATAAAAATACTGTAAAAATTGTTGGACTTTTACAACAGTTTGAGAAAACTTGTAGATGAATCATGTAGCCTAGAATATTAGAAAAATTTTTAAAAAGGTGTCATGAATGTTATGTGTACATAAAATATATGTACCCAAACTTTACCTACACAATGACCATTTGTATACTTAACCCTGAATTGTACCACAGAACTTTAAAAAAATGCAGATATTGGTCTATTTATTTATGTACTAATCGAGTATTTATGTTATTGGTAAGGCTTCCCAGTCAACAATAGATTATTAGTAGTTAAGTTTTTGGAGAGTCAAAAGTTATACTCAGATACTGTTTTGAAGGGAAAAACAGTCATGAATTTATACATTCATGTATGTTCTGATATGTGTTTTATGATACAGTTAGGGCACTTAGTAGCTATCAGGATTGTACATTTCAGAGAGAAGAGCAAGGTATTAATATTTTTAAATGAATGTATAACTTCTTGTAAAGCAAAATTTGGTCAAAATGTAATTTTGATTTAGGACAAATGGTTTTAGTAAGTAAATTATTTTAAAACTGCCTGTGGGCCTTAATAAGGTCTTCAGTATAAAACTTAGGATATCATAATGACATGTATTGGATTTTTTTGTGCTATTTTATTTATTTATATGTCACCTTTGAGTTGTGGCAAAGAAAACTAAGAATCTTATTGACTGTATTTACACAAAGTTGAAAATACCTTCCACCGCAGTCCACCTTACTTGCTTTTAGACACAGTAATGCTTGTTATCATATTCATTACAGTCTGCTGCAGGCCATTTAATTACTGTCAATACAGGAGTTATGGTTTATCCTATTACTGTCAATACAGGAGTTAAGGTTTATCCTATTACTCAAAATATAAATCATACAATAGCTTAACAGGAATTAATTTGAAGAGTGTGAACATGCATTACTGAATTTTACCAGTCCACTCTTGTCATGTAATGGAGTGGATATATATGTATGTAATGTAAAAGTTTTCATCTGTAAAAATATTTTTATCACACAGGGGCTATTTTTGGAGCATTGCAAGATATACTTGGGAGCCGTTCTGTTTCAAAGGAATATTATAATCAGGTGGGCCGCATACCGGATTGGTGTTCTTTCAATAACCCACCTTTGGAAATGATGTTTGATGTCGGGAAAGCTCAGCCACCTCTGATGAAGAGAGCATTTTCCACCGAGAAATAAATGTTTGACTAGAAATCAACTTGCTTCATTTCAAATATTAAATCAGTTACAAGCAAATTGTATAAAGTATGTAAGAGGCTTTGTTATGGATGACCATAGTGGAAGTGAAAGCATTTACTCTTTGCATTAATATTTCATTCATTTGACTCTTTCTCTGGTGTAGTGGTGAAATGGTAGCTAATGCTTATGAGATTTGCTGTATTTATATCAATAAAATATAGTAAAGCAGTTTAACTTTGGAAGTTTGTTACATAGTCCATTTTTCAAAAAGAACAATAACATTGTTCTTCCACAGTTCATTTAATCTGTCCTGAGCATTAGAGACTTCATTAATTTTATTACTTTCAGCAGGTATTTCATTTAAAGCATGACTAGTGTTAACCCTTAGCATTTATATTGAATATTAACATGGGTCTATTTTTAAAAATTCTTCATTTTGGTATGTTATAATAATACTACTTTTCCTGAAATAGATTTGATCCTATGGACTAAGTTTGGTAGCATAGTCAAGCATTTGTTAGCAAAGTGTGGAAATGTTCACTTTTTAACTTTACAGTTTCTTTTAGGAGCAATTCAACATCTCTACAAAAAGAGATATTTCATTTTTATATAAAGGTATGACTGCTTTATAAACATGTATTCATAATGTCATTAATCTTTATGTCTTCTCAGGAGAGGGATTCTTGAAATATGTACCCAGTCATTATTTAACTTTTGTTTGTTTTTTAAAATTGTTTTTAATGAACTACCTCTTGCTGAAATGTTGCTGGTTTCATTCTTTCTAGGGACTTGTGTCTGCCCCTAGCACTCCTTCCCAGCTTCCCTTCCCAGAGAGTGATTGTTCCTTGAGCACACTATCTGTAACTGTGGCACTTAGGACTTTTACTTTGTAATAATTCCTACACAGGGTTGATCTTTCTTTTTGGAATGTAAGCTTCATCAGAAAAAGGCTCCTCTATTTCATAACTTTGAAACCTGCTAGTAGGATTGCCTACTATAGTACTATTGTACAATAGTATACCTATTGATGTACTATAAATTGTCAAATTGTATGGATTTACTATTTTATTAACATTATCTCTCTTTTTTTTTTTTTTTGAGTTGGACTCTCAATCTGTTGCCCAGGCTAGCATGCAGTGGCATGCTCACAGCCACTGCAGCCTCGACCTGCTGGGCTCAGGTGATCTGTCTGCCTCAACCTTCCAAGGAGTTGGAACCGCAGGCATGCACCACAACGCCCAGCTAATTTTTTGATGTATTGTAGAGATGAGGTCTCGCCAAATTGCCCAGGCTGGTCTAGAACCCCTGGTCTCAGGCAATCCTCTCGCCTCAGCCTCCCAAAGTGCTGGGTTTATAGGCTTGCGCCACTACGCCTGGCAGTGTTATCTCTTTTTGCAGTAAACAATTTTTTAAATTCTCTACTTTGCATTCATATTGACCTGGCTTTTGTTGAGTTGAGATCATTTGTGAAAAAGTTTATTTGTTACTGAATAATATAAAAAACAAGATCTATGACTGAAATAGAGCCTTAAAGCTAGCTATAAAGTGGTAGACACCTAGTGGCTGAGGTTAAGGAATGTGGCCCTCTGTATCAGTTTGAATTGTGTCCCACAAAAAGATGTGTTGAAGTCCTAACCCCCATACCTTGTGCATGTGACCTTATTTGGAAAGAGAGTTGCAGATGTAGTCAAATTAAGATGAGGTCATAAGGGTATGCCCAATCCAGAAACACTTGTATCCTTGTAAGAAGAGGAAATGTCATTTGAGATACACAGTGAGAACCCCTGGTGATGATCAAGCAAACACTGGAGTTGGGCATCAGCAAGCCTAGGAATGCTGAGGATTGCTGGGGACACCAGAAGTGAAGAAAAAGAGAACAAATTCTCAGAAAAGCTTTTGTGAGCACATGCCTGCTGATACCTTGATTGAAAACCTCTGGCCTCTAGAAATGTGACAATAAATTTCTGTTGTTTTGAGTCACTCGGTTTGTGGTATTTTGTTTTGGCAGCCCTAGAAAACAAATACACCCTTCTTAATTCAGACTCAACATACTTATTGAACATCTGCTAGATACTAATTTAGAGTGTTGAGATATGTTAGTGAACAAAACAGATGAAAACCCTACCTTTCTGAAACCTGTATTCCAAGGGCATGGGAGAAGGTGGGGAGACAACATAAGAAGATAACACCTTCTCTGGAAAAAATAAGAGGGTAATGTGGATGGTGGGGTAGCTATCCATTAGAACAGGGTGCTTGGGGTTGGGCTCGTTTCTTAGTGACAAATTAGGCAAGTGAGTTAACCATGTGGATATTTGCAAGTAAGGGAAAATTGATGCAGGAAGAACAGCCAGGGCAAGAGCCCTAAGGAACATGTCTAACATGTTCTAAGACCAGGCCAATTTGGCTGCTGTCAAGTGAGCAGAGAATATGAGATGGAAGAGTTGTAGACAGATCTTGCAAGGACAGTTCTTAGTGAAACCTTGGAGGGCTTTGAATGTAATAAGTGGCAAGATCTGATTTGTTTTAACAATTGTTCTAGATGTGGTTAAAAATAGAGTTCAGGGAGACAAAGACTGAAGTAGGAATGTCTTTTAAGAAACCATTGTAGTAATCCAGATAAGATGATTGTTTAAAACAGGATACTGGTAGCAAAGGTGAGAAACCTCATTCTGGACATGTCTTGAAGACAGACCTGTAGGATATCCTAATAAATCTGGTGTGTGTTTAAGTTACCTATTGCTATGTGACAAACTTCCAAAATTGAGTGGCTTAAACAGTATGAACGTTATTTGCTTATGGTTCTGTGGATCAGGAATTCAGGCAAGACTCAGGAGTGCTGTTCCATGTGGCATCACCTGTGGGTACTACTACTCACCACACTGTATTTAATTGATGTGCTGGAATGGAAGGTCTAAGCTTTGCTTTTTTTATTTTTATTTTTTTTATTTTTTTTGAGTTGGAGTCTCACTCTGTCGCCCAGACTGGAGTGCAGTGGCCGCTCCCGGCCACCACAGCCTCGACCTGCTGGGCTCCGGCGATCCTTCCACCTCAGCCTTCCAAGTAGCTGGAATTACAGGCATGCGCTACCACGCCTGGCTGATTTTTTGATTTATTGTAGAGATGAGGTCTCGCTGCCCAGGCGGGTCTCGAACCTGTTGGCTCAGGCAATCCATTCACCTCAGCCTCCCAAAGGCGCAGGATTACAGGCTGAGCCACCGAGCCGGCTGACAGCTTTACTTTAATTCTGGGGTCACTGTGCTCTTCACATAGCTTCTTCCACATGGCCTCTCTTCATGTGGCTAGTTTACACTTCTCTCAGGATGGTGCTCTCAGGGTACTCAGATTTTTTACTTGGTAGCTTGCATTTAGGTCCCATTGTGTAGGTTCTCAAGAGACTGCTTGCATCATGTTTTGTAATGTCCCATTAGCCAAAACTAGTCACAGAGCCAAGCCCACAGTAAGTGTGGGAGAGGAATGTTGAAGGACACTTCACAATGTGGATGGAGAGAGAAGAGTCAATAATTTGTCCAGGATATTTAAATTGCAAAACTAGAAGGATGGTGTTATCATTAATGGAAAAAAGGAAAAATGCAAGGCAAGTTTTGAGGCAAAGATCAAGAGTTAAGTGTTGCATGTGTTGAATTTGAGATATCTACTACATATTCAAATCAATGGATCAAATGGATATTCAGGTTTGACATTTAAGAGAGACCTGGGGATCATGAGCAAATAGCTGATATTTAAAGCTATGAGGTCACCAAATGAAGAAGTGTGGATTAGAAGGGACCAAATCCCTAGAGCAATCCAAAGTAAAGAGGGAAGAAAAGGAGTCACTGGTGATGGGGGAAAAAAACAAGAAAGCATTTGTGTCTTGGAAACCAAGGGAAGAAGTGTAACACATGGAGGGGTCATATATGTAATACATTTATGATACTCTAAGTATATGAGGCCTAGCAATTAGCAATTAGATTTAGTAGGCCGGGCAAGGTGGCTCACGCCTGTAATCCCTGCACACTGGGAGCCTGAGGTGGAAGGACTGCTTGAGCCCAGGAGTTTGAGTCCAGCCTGGACTAAATGAGGAGAACTCCTTGTCTCTACAAAAAAATAAAAAAAATTAGCCAGGTGGTCTGGCGAGCGCCTGTATTCCCAGTAATGCAGGAGGCTGAGGCGGGAGGACTGCCTGAGCCCTAGAGGTAGAGACTGTGATGAGCTGAGACTTATGCCACTGCACTCCATCCTGGGCGACAGAGTGAGACCCTGACTCAAAAATATAAAAAGAAAAAAAGTAATGTGGAGATGATTGGTGACCTTTCTATGGGTGAGGAGGGGAGGATGAGGGGTAGGAAGGCCTGTTTGGAGTGGGTTGAGAAAGGCAAAAGGTCTGGAATAGCCCCTGATATCTAGGAGCTAACCTGATACAGCTAAATTTCAATGCGTTGATATGATGCTTTCAACAAACTACACTTTTCTCCTGTTTTTCACCGAACATCCACTTCAGACAAGTCAGTCACTGTCCAACTCAAAACACTGATATCCCTCTCCAGCTAAATGAGTGACTGTTACCTTACAATTTCAGCTTTATCGCTCTTTCAGCTTGGTCTCCCTTAGATAAGATTTATTGAGATCACAGAATTCCTGTGGGTTTCTGACAGCATCTATTGCAGAATATGCCTTCATTACTTAGACCCTCTCCCAAATTAGCCAATAGAAACCCAAATCCTGCAGTAGGATTTTTAAAACACCTTACTGAATCCCCCCACGGGAAAATCCTCTCTCCCTCAAATAATAATCTAAGAATGGAAGAAAACTTGGCGTATGCACTGCTTGTAGACATCTGACTACAGAAGAAATTATTTCTCACCGGAGAGAAAGAGAAAGAGAGAAAAGGATAAATTGGTTGTTTTTCTCCGGATGTCTCTGGCGCCTCCAACTGCTTTTACATTGGATTTCTTAAACTTTAGAAAAGCAGCCAAACTTGGGGCTCATAATTTTGTTAAGATAAAAACAAAAACTGTCCTGTACAGCAACTACGCACGTATGCCTAGTAACGCAAAAGCCCGTCCACAGTGGCCGTTCAGCTTCCTGTTTTAAGGAGGACACTGGGGAGGAGATGTGTGCTTTCAAGTGCGCAAGCACAGTTTGTGACCAGTTTCGTTTGAAAAAGACTTTTTTCCGGCTGTCTGGTAAACATTGACAACACTTAAATTAATTCGCTTTAAGAACTCCCATTAGTTTAAGT